TTCAAGGAAAGCCTCAAGCAACTCAGCAAGACCTCTTTCCAAATAAAATATTAAAAAGGGCTGGTGTTATGATTTGGATGTGAGGTGTCCCCCAAAAGTTCATGTGTGTTATAATGCAAGAAGGTTTAGAGGAGAAATGATTGGGTTATGAGAGCCTTAAACCCAATCAGTGAATTAATCACCTGATGGCAAGTAGAATCCCTRTCTCTGTTTCCTGATCATCAATGTGAGCTGCTTCCCTTGGCCACACTTTTCCACCATGTTGTCTTGCCTCACCCTGGAGCCCTGAGGAATGGAGCTGGCTGTCTATGGACTGAGACCTCTGAAACCATGAACCCTCAAATAAACTTTTTCTCCTCTACAATTGTTCTGGTCGAGTCTTTTAATCACAGCAGAGAAAAAGCTGACTAAAACAGCTGGAGATGTGGCTCAGGGGTAAAGTGCCCCTGGGTTCAATCCCTGGTATCAAAAAAAAAAAATTAAGATGAAAACAACCCATCTCTTAATCTGGGTGACAATGAACAAACTATTGAAGAACTAGTAGAGACATTTTGAATGATTGTTACATATAAGTGAAGATGTTTCTTTATAACTCATACTTACTGAGCAGTACCTGGCCACGCTGAAGGCAAKTTTACATTTTTAGAAGACACACAGGCGGGACAAGGTAACACTCTTGTTTTCTCTMAAACAGATGATTTTTCAATCAATTGCCGTAGTTTTCATGCAGAAAGAAAAAGCTACTATGATCGTGTGAACCAAGTTTCAAGTCAGTGCTAGGAATGAACCATAAAAGCTGTTGACTGGGTTCAGCTGACAGATGGCTCTGACTAGATCCTGCTCYGATCCTCGCGGTAGTGCCTGGGGAAGGAGGAGGCCGCTCAGGAGCCCTTCTCAGGACACACCCACTGACAGCTACATTTTGACACATGAGTTTTCCATGTGCCTAGTCTGACTTGTGAATGGCATCTGATTAAAATCATCCAATTTTTATGATTGATGAGACCACTGGAAATCAACCCTGGCTCGAGTACTATGTATTAGTTCAGTGAAACCTGGAGAACTTTGCAGATACCCCCAAGTGTCCAGAAGAGCTGTTTCCTGGGCAGGAGCTGTCACCACCTYCCTGAATATTTTGAGGTTAGTTTAGATGATGATGAAAGCACATTTCCCCAAAGAATAAATAACACTCTGTGAAAGGACAAGTCTCGGGGCGACTGCAGGGAAGAAGGGAGGAAGAAGTTTCTTTTTAATTCAAAAAGCTTYATAATGGCACTGAATGGTGAGTGCAGTGCTCGGATCCACTTTTCAAACTGAAATTAATGCAACTGACGCTCCTTAAATGCTCCTCCTGCAAAGGAAAGCACAGGGGCAGAGGGCCTGACTTACTCTATGGTCCAGCACCCACTGAAATTGATCCAGTGCCGYGCTGGAAAGAGGCAGGACAGGCCCTGCTGTCTTGACTGAGAGCCTCAGCTGTTGGGCCCATGGGCGCAGGGGGATTSCCAGCTACTGCCAGTGAGGTGAGGGTGAGGGTCCTGCTGGGCATCCCCGATGGGAAGTGAAAAGACCCTGGTCCCACACAGAGCCTCCCTCTGCTGCCAAGGATCTGCTGATCAGCTGCTGTGTGTTCTATCCTTAAAGAGTCTCTTACTTTTTCACTGTTAAAAACATAAGCTCTCCCCAGGGCCAGATGCTAAGGATCCCTGTACACAACACACCGAATCACCCTCAAAGCAATTCAAGGCACAAACATTTTAATTTCACACCTCCAACGGGGAGAAGGGTATTTCAGGTTGTAGACAACAGAGGACAGATACAGACAAGTTTCATTCCAGGATAAATTAAATCAGTTTGAGAGTCACTGACCGCAGAAAAACATGAAGACGACAATATGGAAGAGATGCACAGACCCTCAAATAGACCTTCACAGACACTGACCTCTGGGCAGGACATCTGAGATGATGAATCTGACTTCCCTCCTAACTGAGGCCAGGAGAGGAGTGGGCCTTGGCAAGATCAGTAGCCTCAAGGGTGGGACCAGGATAAAAACACCTAGGGGACAGGGAATGAGACCCTTCCTAAAAGGCTACTTCCTTTGTCATGCCTGAGCACCCTCCCTAAGGAACAAAACATTATCTGTCCAACAAAGGACACAGAAAAAGGAGTTATTTCTCTATGACCAAACCTAACTGGTAGTAGAGTGAGTCCTGTGGTCCTGTTGTGCTCATTACTATTTTTTTTTTCCAAATCATGATCAAATAATAAAATGGCTTCTCTATGAAAAGAACACACACAGTAAAGATTCTTAACACAAGCTGTCCGTGTGTTCAGAAGGACTGTGGGTGGCAAGGACTCCAGGAAAGAAGGAGAGATATCAGGGCCTTTTGTGCTACTATAACAGAATACCTAAGGCTGGGTTATTTATAAAGAACAGAGATTTATTTCTCATAGTTCCAGAGGTCGGGAAGCATTCGCCAGATGAGGGGCTGCATCCTGTGAGGGCTTCTTGCTGTGTCATTACATGGTAAAGAAGAGGAAGAGGAGGAACCTGCAGCCTCAAGCCCTTTTATGAGCTGCATARGGCCATTCCTGAGGTGGGGGCCTCGTGACCGCCTCCAGTGAGGTCCCAGCACCTAACACTGTTGCACTGGGGATTAGGTTTCTGACACATGAACTTTAAGGGACACGTTCAAATCATATCAAGGGATGACACTGGTCAAATTGAGCAAACGTGAATCTGCAAGGATTTTGCATCAGAAAATCACAGGTTTTTGTTGTTTGTTTTTTAATCTTGTTGCAGTTGTAGATGGACAGAATGTCTTTGTTTTGTTTGCTTATTGTGTGGTACTAAGGATTCAACCCAGTGCCTCACACAGGGTAAGCAAGTGCTCTGCCACTGAGCTACAGCCCCAGCCCCAGGTTTTTTTGTTTTTATTTTTTTTAAATCCTGAATTCAAGCAGCTCACCTGGTCTAACCTTCTCCCAACCACAACTAGAGAACAAGCCTCAGTTCTGCCATCTGATGARTGGGAAAACCCAGGTACAGAGAGCCTAAGATAAAGACCCAGGACAGCCCAGCACATTCATTGGGGGGGGGGGGGTGAGACTAGGAGCAGGCCCTGGGGCCAGGCTGGGGAGCTACCTCCGTGGACTGTCCTTACACTCAGATTCTGCTCCCTGGCTGTGTTCTCTGATCTAATCTTCACTTCCCAGATAGATTCTCCTGCTTCACAGAGAACCAGCCGGAGGCAGCTGCACCATGACTCAGCCAGGCAGTCAGGCTAAAGTCAAGTCCTGATCCTGCGGACAGCATGTCCCCTTGTCACCGTGTGATGAAAATGGCCCCTGGCTTCCATGSTCCTCCCAAACATGTCACCCCAGTCGAGAAACACAGCAGACAGGTTTCCAGAGGGGCCTCGTTTTAGGCAGCTCTTTTGCTGCTGTGACCAAAAGACAGGAACAATTTTAGAGGAGGAAAAGTKTACTTGGGGCTCAGGGTTTCAGGGGTCTCAGTCCACAGATGGCCGGCTCCATTGCTGTGGGTCAGAGGTCAGGAAGAACATCATGGCAGAAGGGGGTGGGGGAGGAAGGGACTCAGAAGATGACACCAAGAAGCAGAGAGAGACAGACAAACAGCTCCACTTGCCAGGGACAAAATATAAACCCTAAAGGCACCCCGCCCCCCAGATCACCTCCGCCAGCCACACCCTACCTGCCTGCTTATCACCCAGCTAATCCCATCAGGTGACTCATTTACTGATCAGGTTAAAACTTGCATGACCCAGTCATTCCGCCTCTCAGCCTTCTTGCATGGTCTCCCACGTGGGCTTTGCGGGGAGCCTCACATCTGAACCACAACAGGCCTCCTATGGTGTACCTGACCAGTGCTCCTCAAAAACATCAAGATCAGCAAAAATAAGGAMAGGCTGAAAGCCATCGTGGCCCAGAAGAGCCTGAGGAGACAGAACCACTAGCCCAGCGTGATGTCCCGCGTGGGACGCTGGAACCGCAAAGCAGCATTAGGTAAGAACTAAGGGACCCTGAACAAGGCAGGGACTCAGGTCCATCCGAGCACACGGCTCTGCTTCATGACCTGAGACCCATCCCCATGCTGAAGCCAGATGTCAGCAACGGGGCCTGCGCCTGGCAAAGGCAATGGTTTGTGCAGGAGTTTTCGTGACATTATTTTGTCGTCCTTTTCACACACCCAGTTCATGACGTCCACTTGACGCCAGGCCAGTACCCCAACCACCCTTTCTAAGTCATACAAATATGTATTTTAAGGCAGAAGGTTTTTTTTTTTTAAAAAACCAATCCCTACACACATTCCTTTCCCTGCAGACTGATCCCCACACTGTCCTCAGTTTCCTGCTTCCCATGTGTCCAAGGGGTGAAGTGAACCCTCATCACCTGCAGCAACCCCGTCCTCGTCCACTGGAGCAGGCCCTTCCTGCTGCCAGCAGATGATGCCAGATGAACTGGGCCGAGGTCTGGCCGTGGCAGGCGAGTGGTCAGCGGCTGCTCAGTTTCCACTGCACTTCACCTGCCAGCCGCTCACCCCTCCCCATCTTCTCCCCCACTCCAAAGTCCTCTAGATGGACAGCATGTCTAACCCTCGGGAACATTCCAGCGGAGTTCTCCATCCCCACCACTGCAGCACTGTCCACACCCCCTAAACGAAGCCTCAAAGGAAGTCCCAAAGGGAAATGCGTCCCTCCCTTCACTTCCAAACCCCCATGCACGATGCACTYCCCACACAAGGTCCCCAATATTAAGACAAAATGTGGACCATTTCCTAAATGAGTCCCAGTTTTATCTTGTTCTCAGTTTCACTGTATTTTTATTTTTCCACTCCTGTAAATTACTATAGGACTTAGATCCCCCGTCACTAAAAATATGAAGTCAAAGCCACGTCCAGGCAGCTCCGTCCCCCTCCCCTGCACCCTCCCCTGCACCCTCCCCTCCACTAGCCATATCATTGAAAGAAAGTCTCCTACCTTTCACTGAGGCTTCTCCACAACTGTGCACCTGCAAGAGGGAGAGGAAAATGAGAGACTTAACCAAGCTTCGCTCTCCTGAGGCATTTCCCAACTTAAAAATATTACAAGATATGTCAAGTGGAACCTTGAGATCTTCAGGCGCTGCAAACTATCAGATCTTAGGAGGTATACTGCTGGTGCCAGGACTAATTCAGGCAGTTAATTCACAAAAAAAAGTTAGTGGAATCCTWCTACCTGCAAAACAGTTGAGTCGGTGCCCTGAGGGATGGAATGCTCCAGCCACACACAGTCCCTACCTCGGGGGCTTCACTGTCCAATGTGGCAGACCAAATGTGTGCTCCAGTAAATGTGAACCCAGAGAGGCAGAGCAGGAACCAAACAAGAGGAGGAGTAACCATGAGGGTGGGGGGCGAGGATTTGTGGCTGTTCCAGGGAGCATGAATAATAGAGGTGGCATTGAAGGTGAGTCTTGGCACCATCCTGGCAAACTGAGACGACTGTGACTGGAAAAGGGAGATTTTTATCTAGTCATTCTTTTTTTTTTTTTATTAGTTGCTCAAGACAATACAGTGATCTTGACATATCATACATTTGATTCAAATAGGGTATAAATTCTCATTTTTCCACAGATTGCAGGATCACATTGGTTATACATCCATGTGCATACATACAGCAATCCTAGTGTCAGTTGTATTCTGCTGCCCTCCCTATCTCCCCTCCCCTCCCCTCACTATTCTCTGCCCATTCTACTGTGACACTTATCTCTCTCTCTCCCTTTTTTTCCTTCCCTTCCCCCTCCCACCATCATATATGTATTTTGTGAACCCATGAGGGTCTCCTTCCGTCTTCTGTGCAATTCCCCTTCTCCCTCCCTTTCCCTCCCTCCTCTTTTCCTTGTTTTGTGGTAATCTTCTTCTCATGCTCTTCCTTCCTACTCTGTTTTGAGTCACCTCCCTTATATCAGGGAAGACATTCGGCATTTGTTTT